AAAAGCAATCACTGTAAAAAAAAAAAAAAAAAAAAAAAATCTTCATCACCCCCCACAAGTAGTACAGTGTCACCATGTACTGCTAGGGTGACAGTATGTAAAAAAAAACATAAAACCCATACATAATAATATAAAAAAAATAAAATTAAAATGTAAAAAAAATGTTAAAAAAATTATAATTTTTGGTTATAAACTAATTTGGCAAATTTTTTTTACTAAAAATATAACGGAATACATTTTCGCCAAAATTTATGGTGAAAGATTATTTATTTGCAACATTTTATAAGAAAAACACTTTTTTTCAAAATTTTTGGACATTTTCATTTACATAGCAAAAAAAATAAAAATCCCAGCGGTGAATAAATACCACCAAAATAAAGCTTTATCTGTCTAAAAAAAAACGGTAAAAAATTCATATGGGTACAGTATTGCATGACCACGCAACTGTCATTCAAAGTGTGATAGCGCTGAAAGCTGAAAATTGCCCTGGACAGGAAGGGGGTGAAAGTGTCCGGACAGGAAGTGGTTAAACATTCATCAACAGGGATCTGACACAGGTACTCCTCTAGCAGAGTATACTGTACTATATATATATGTTTTCACAGTTACTTGGATAAAAAATATCAAACATATTTTTTTATTATGAACATAGTAAATTATTCAAGCAGCATTAAACCCAAAAGAAAACATTTATTATATTGCAGTGTACCAGGCTGATTTTCAACAGAACAAGCTCTTCTGAAAATGTATTAGTTGGAGTGTTGGGACAAACCATTTACTGTTGTTACAACTGTTCGTGTAACTGCAGTGTGAGCTGGTGGTTATCTTCAACTTGTTAATGTATTTAAATCTGCTAGTACATTTACTACTACCCTACTCCCAAATTAACAATGAACAGGAAGTGGGTTTCCGGCCAGATCACCAGGTGAAAAAAAAAGGAAACTAATTAAATGAATCCACCGCATCTAATATTTGGTAGGCTGAAATATTTTACATGTTTGGCTTTGGGTTTAATACCACTTTGAGTTAAGCATAAAAAAGATAATATATTCTTTTAAAAAAACAAGCTTGCTGGAGCATTTGCATATTTTAGATGATACTCAGCTCTTTCTTTCTTTCTTTTTCTTTCTTTCTTGAAAGTAATTGAAAAAAAAAATAATGTAGAGTAAGTTAAGAAAAAAAAAAAAACACAGAAAAAAAGAGAAAAAAAGTAGGCCCATTCTTTCTTGCCATCAGCCCTCTATACGTTTATCCTGCCAGGACTCTACAACTCTGGTTAATGTAAAGCTGATAGGCAATACTATCAACTAATTTCCTGCAAAGGAGTCCTCCAAGAAATTTAAAGGATAAGTTCACCTTTGGGAACATGTTACACGTTCCACCCATTTTTAGGGTGGAGCATGTAGCATGTTCCCATAGCTACAGCCACTCCCGCTGCCACACTCCCTCTGACAGATAGTACGGGGAGAAGTTTCCCCGTACTGTCAGATTTGAAAACAGCGCAACCGTGCGAGGCTTGCCCACACAGCCTCATCACTCATTCACAGAGTTCTGTGAATGAGTGCCTACAAGTCCAGGAAGCCTTAGCGGCTGTCGGCTTGTAGTTTTCAATTAACTACTATGGTGCAGTGGAGCGCCGTGGTAGTTCATTGAAGCTTCCAGTCACAATATCTTGTTGACCATACATCCCGTACGGCAAACAGATATTCTGACAGGTCTGTAGGAGTCCTGCATGGTATCACCGATCTACTGATCACTGGTTCAATGCTCTCCAGGCTCCTGTAGACAAAATTAATAAAAGCACATTTTTTACCTGCAAAAAAAAGTGCATTTATTATTTTTGTCTAAAAGGTGAACTTATCCTTTAAAGAGAAGAATATATTTGTTCATTTTCCAAGTAAAATATGGATTGTCTTCCAAAAAGGTTGGATATACTAGTATGTCCAATATATATGAAACAGGGAACCCGAGTTACACCAGCAGCAATTTGTGAACATAGTAGAGATAATTGAATGCAAAAACTTTTATATATAGTACCAGTGATATACTGATTTTCTTTAAATTGACAATAAATTATACTGTATATGAATTCTCCAATAATAATCCATACGCGGTCACTACTTAAAGCGTGATATACATATGTACATATATATATAATTTTTTATTTTTAGCGCATACTCTTTTGATATGTTTGTTCATTTTGCCAAATTAATTTTTACACATATATAATTTTTTTGGGTGGAGTTGCTGCTGACACACAGTTGTTGTTTTTGTGGCGCTTTTCTTTTTTTATATTTTTGTAGCTAAGATTAAAATAGCAAAAAAATCAGCAACAGGGACATAACCTACAGCAAATAGGATGTGTCCCTTGTGCTGATGCCTCTTCTGTTAGTAGAAATCATCCTTTAGCAATATGCCCCCCCCCCACCCTCCCACCCCACACACACACACACACTCACACTCTTCCCCCTACACTGGAAGGGTTATACAACAATGTGTCCCTTGTGCTAATGCCTCTTCTGTTAGTAGAAATCATCCCACACCCACACACACACTCTTCCCCCTGTACTGGAAGGGTAATACAACTAAAGGCCTGCTACACGCTCTCATCAAGACTTTGCACTCTCCAGTTTTAGTAAATCAACCCTTTTGTCACACAGGAGTGAACATTTTTGGACTATGAACTGTTGACTTGATTTTACTGGAGTTTCTTTTATAGCAGACTGAGGGAATTGCTTTTTTTATTCTCAGACTGATCTAATCTATTCCATTTTTACCTTCCCTCTTAACTTCAATTCACTTTTATATTTTGGTTATGTATACTGTTAATGTAACACCAAGATAATGATATGAATGTGTGCAATGGCACTGTTTTGACAGTTTATTTTTTACATAAATCCTGAATGACATTGTGCATGCTCGAGTGAGCACTTGACACTTATGCAACAAGAGTAATGTCATTTGGGGTTCCCAGTGTGATAGCTGGCAACTGGGAAATAATGTTTTTATGTTGTAATTATTTATTCAACTGACTTTTTTTAATTAATTTATTTCTTCATTCTTAAGTTTTCTCTTAATTTTGTGGTTAGATCAGGTCAAAGGGACCTCACAGAGTACACGTTACACCTTTACAAACCTTTATCTAGGTACAATAGTTATCAGCAAGCAATGGAGGAGATTTACTAAAACTAGTGCACTCAAAATTTGGTGCTGCTGTGCATGTTGACCAATCAGCTTCTAACTTCATCTTGTTCAATTGAGTTTTGACAATAAAACTCGGGAGCTGATTGGTTTCTATGTAGTGCTGCACCGGATTTTCCAGTTTTAGTAAATAACCCCCAATATATCAATGTTCTATTTCTGCAAGGGAATAAGATCAGTTTAATGATGATGTCATTGGTATCCACATCTGCTAAACCAATTCGGGGATGCCTGTAACATATGCCAGTTGAAAATGCTGCTGTGGCTAAAGCTGGCTAAACACAAGTAGAATTTAGTTCAAAGATTTTAATTTTAAAGTGATACTAAAGGGTCTTTTTTTTGTAAAATAACAAACATGTCTTTACTTACCTGCTGTGTGCAGTGGTTTTTCACAGAACAGCCTGGATCTTCCTCTTCTTGGGTCCCCTGCAGGTTCTCCTGGCTCTTCTTTTCTGTTGGGTGCCCCCATAACAAGAAGCTTGCTATGGGGGCACCCGCTGCTCCGTGTGTCCCTTCACACATGGAGCCGTGGCTTGGCCCTGCCCCTCTCTCCTCACTGGCTGACTGGCTGTGACTGACATCAGCGGGAGCCAATGGCTCCTGCTTGCTGTCTCAGCCAATGAGGAGGCAGAGACCCGGGACAGCCGAGGCTGTCATGCACATTGCTCGATCTCAGTGGGGCTCAGGTAAGTATTGAAAGGGCTGGGAGGCACTGCTGTACACTGCAAGCTTTTTACATTCATTCATAGAATGCATAAAGGTAAAAAACGCTGAGCCTTTACAAACACTTTAAGAACGTTCCTTCAATTCATATTCATTAGTGGGGTCAAATTAATGTTCATTTTTGACCACAGTGACAAAAAAATTCAAAGGAGCAGGATGGAATTTTTTTTCTCGAAAGAACAAATTTCTAACAGTGCATGTGGTTTTTGTTCAGTAGCATCCATTTGTACTAAATCGAATGTTAAAAGCAAATAGTATTTTAAACTACGTTTGAACAACGTTCTTCAAGCTGTCAACTGTACTGAGAATTTTCATGTGAACTTTCTGTAGCCTCCCTAGCGGTCTGATTATGTCCATATTTCTGTGCTCAATGCGGTACATTTTTTTGCATGGAAATTTTTTTTTTTATTGTAGGCCTGTAATTTTTAGGAATAACTCACTGAAATCTGTCCGAACAAGAGTCTAGTAAACATCCCGGGTATCTTAAAATTTGAAACAAGAAATCATAAATTATAATTTAATAAATAATCATAAAAAAAATAATAATAATAACAATAAATTTAATTAAATAATATAATCAAACCAAAAACACTGAAATTTGAAATATAGCGCCACGTTCGCACGTCACTGAGCAAAGTCGCAAAATTTTTTCAGTGTCTGATGACGAATTTCCCCACGAATCATTATCACTCAATTCTGCAAGTGGTTCTAATTTCCTATCGCTGTTCTCTAGCTGGACTTAAATCGCTTTTGACCTAAAGGGACACTTTTTGGATGCCATGGACGTTTCTCAGTTTCCAGGCCGAAAGAACAGTAAAAATGCAGACAGGGCGCAGGACAAAGCACTAGGGACAAAATGTATGTGAAATGGTTTGATACAGTAATGTTTTACTATGTGATTTTAGTGAATTTAGTGAATGTCACTTTTACAACTTTCAAATTTCCCGCCAGTTCCGTCCCCCGTACATCCTGACTTTGCAGGGAACAGAACCCAGAAGACAGATGCCGGCATGCGCCGGAGGACATGGCCGGGGACGCTGCAGCGGGGACATCGTGGGAGCGCAAGACAAGGTAAGTGAAGAAGAGATCCTGGAACAACAACGCCACATGGTAAGCCCGAGTGTAGCTCGGGGTTACCGCTTGTGGTGCTGAAACTTTACCCCGAGCTACTCTGGGGAATACCTCCAGGAAGGTTAAAAAATCTACTACCGTATTGCCAGATTAAAAGTAGTTTCTATAACATAATTATAAGTAGCTCTGTTGATGTTCCACCTTTTCTTAAACTTCCTAGCAGTAATCTAGAGTGTGAATTTGGGTTTATTTACAGTACCAAAACCAGTAACCCCGAGCCACACTCGGGATTACTCTATAGTGCTTCTCCTGCAATCCCTTGTTCTGGGATGTCCTCCTGCTGTGTCCTCCGGCCGCTGCCGGCATCCGTCTTCTGTTCCCTGACAGCGTCGGGACGTAGGGGGGAAGAACCGGCGGGAGATTCAAAAAAGTTAAAATTTGACATACACACAATACATTGTAATCTGTTAGGATTACATTACTGTATCAAGCCATTTCACATATTTTTGTCCCTAGTGCTTTGTCCTGTGCCCTGCCTGCATTTTTACTGTTCTTTCTGCCTGGAAACTTGAACTGAACATCCATGGCATCCAAAAAGCATCCCTTTAGGTCAAAAGTGGTTTCAGACCAGCTATAACACAACAATAGTAAATTAGAACTACTTGCGGAATTGAGTGATAATGATTTGTGGGGAAATTCGTCATCAGACCCAGAAAACTATTCTGTGACTGAGCTCAGTGATGTACGAACTTGGTGCTCTATTTCAAATTTCAGTGTTTTTGGTTTGAATACATCATTGAATTAAATGTATTATTATTATTATATTATTATTTCTTACAATTATTTATTATATTATAATTTATGATTTCTTGTTTCAAACTTTATCATACCCGAGATGTTTACTAGACTCTTGTTTGGACAGATTTCAGTGAGTTATTCCTAAGAATTACAGGCCTACAATATAAAACAACATATTTCCATGCAATGTACCGCTTTGACATTCAAAAATATTGATTAGTTAGAGGGTATTGGAGGTTAAGAGGGTGACTACTTTGTGGACAGGGTTGTTTTCGATGGCTAAACTCCAGGCAGATATACATATAGGCACCTGTTGATTCAACTCTATATTAATTAATAGAACATCATTATTTTGGTTAATGCAAGTAGTGTAAGTCCCTGAAATTGTCCTGGTATTATCATTTAACAATCCCTGAACAACAGAGCTCAGGTTGGAAGAAAGCAAAGCATACTGCAGTGTCCATGTACTAACAAGAAACATGCTGATAGGAGAAGAGAGCCCAGTGGCAGAGAGTTGAGCAAGCTGGGGGAGAAAAAAGACTTGCAAGTATTACTTGCAGTAAAGAATCAGGTTTTCTGCCCCATCAGACAAGACTGTGCTATGCAGAAGAACTGTGTAAATTTAGACCTGAATTGATAAATACAAATCCTTTGTTAGATAAACCAGCTCCCATGTATGCATGTCAACTGTGTATTTAGCTGTAGTTCAGCAGTAAGTAAGGAATAAAACAAATTGAAACCTAACTCAAGCTAAAACGTTTTTTATTTTTTAGCAGCTATAGCAATAGTTTTATTTTGTTTGGAAATATAGGTTTACAACATATTTGCTTTTGCTCCTATACCTCTAAGTTTTATTTTAGCTGGACAGCAAAAGGGTACAATATTTTTCTCTATAGTGGTCCTTCAATGTGAAAGGGTTTCAAAATGTGCATTCCCCTGTAATTTGGGTAAAAGTTGACTTTAAAGGAACTATCATGTTGCTTCCTACCCTCGCCATCTCGGCTTCATGGTACCTGCATGTTACATGGCGTTCATATATCATCAAATTAACTGTAGGCCATTGCATGTGTATGTATTGCTGTATAACTTTCAACTGAAAGCTTAGGGAAGCTTGTGTTTTTTTGTACTCCATAGGATGGGGTCCTAGATAGGAATTTAAAAAAATAGCTTTTCCCTACTCCAGGGGTCTTCAAACATTCCAAAAAAAGAGCCAGTTTACTGTCCTTCAGACTTTAGGGGACTTTTGCTATTGGGAGTAGAAAAGGTCCTGATTGTCTATTCAGTTGGAATAGACAATGCCCCATATTTGGTGTCAGAGGAAGGAAGAGCACTGCATTGTTGGTGTCAGTGGGAGGAATTGTGACCCATCATTGGTGTCCTTGGAAGGAAATGTACCCCTTCATTGGTGTCAGTGGGGAGAATTTTGTTCCATTGTTGGTATCAGTGGATGAAATAGTGCCCCCAGGGCCAGATAAAAACAGGCAAAGGGCTGCAGTTTGGAGACCACTGACCTACTCTATCCAAAGGTAAAAAATAAGGAAAGGAAACTTCTAATCTTAATATTAAAATTTACAAGGCATTAGAGAAAATGATTGTATTTGATACATGTAATAAACATATAATTTTTCATTTTATTTATTTGAAAAAATATTTTTTCTAACACATTATAGAATTTCAAGTCAAGATTTTCTGTTTATGAGTAAGTCACTTTCTATATGCACCATATGGAAGCCGGAACATTGAATTCCACAGTGTCTTCCATTTAACAAAGTTTTCTGACTTTTCCTATCTATAATTTATATCACCAGGCGTGCCTGATTGCCAAACTATTCATTTGCTTTTTTTATGTAGAATAAATGAAATTCATGAAAAAAAATAGCTTTTAAAAACAGCAGGGTCCAGATCAATCCCCTATTGCTTCTTCAGCTGAACATTTTGAAGCTCTTGCCCTTCTGGCGGTTTCCATGTGCTAATAATTTACATGCTGTTTTGTGAGGTCTTGTTTGTATTCAGTTAACGCTCATATATGCTAATTTATAGTCTGCATTTCAGCAAACATAATGTACTTACAGTTGGCAGTTTTAAATACAAAACATAGTCTCATTGTATGTAAATATCCATGAAAAAAATGATTTAAAGGGTAATGCCAGACAAAACTCTTTTTTCACAGTTTTGGATAAATAGGGGGAGGTTTAGAATTTTAGTTCAGTATTTACTGCTGCCTACATGCCTGTCATGAAGATTCAGTCTCACTTTCTGACTTGGTAACCATTGTCCCCAGGACAGGCAGTTGAGAATATTTAAAAATTTGCAGTAGACACCATAACAGTGTCCAGGAGGAATCTTCCGATGGGGGCACCTGTTTTAGTGACAGCTGCCAAAATTATTTTTTATTTTCTCTTTAGAGATTTCCTCTCACTTTCCATATTGTTTGTGGTACTAGAAGTTAGGGGAAATCTCCTGCAAAACCTGCAATTAATACATTTACAATTGAAACGCCACATTGTTGTTTGAACTCATTACAGTCATAGTCCAAAGAGATCCTGGAATCCCTTTGGCATGCAGAAGCTGCCAACCCAATGTTTAGAAATCATGTGCTAACATCACCTCTACACAATTGGACAGTAAAAAAAAACTCTTGCATTAAGTGCAATATGTCCATTGCCTCAAACAATGAAAACCTTATCAAGTTTCTAGCTTCCCCTATCTATCAACATTGGAGCAAAAATATTGGCTGGGGTATAAATTTATATTTCTTTTTTTTTTTTTTTAAATTTTCTAACTCGGATGGTGCTACATAAGAATATTACTGGGAAAATAATTTGCAAACAGCAATAATACTTATATATATATCCGGTTTCCTCCCACACTCCAAAGACATGCTGGTAGGTTAATTGGCTCCTGTCTAAATTGGGCCTAGTATGTGTATGTATGAATGTGAGTTAGGGACCTTAGATTGTACACCCTTTGAGGGTTAGGGACTGATGTGAATGTACAATATATATGTATGTAAAGTGCTGCGTAAATTGACAGTGCTATACAATTACCTATAATAAATAAATAAAATATATATATAATATAGGCAAAATACCCAAAACCACGGCTCCACTCCAGACTTGCACCTTTCATCACATATGGACAATCCAGGTGCTAGCTACCACAGCCCAACTCCACTTTCAATCAAAGTATAAAAAAATATAAGCCACACGCAGAAAATTGTCTCTTCTTTCTGTATTTAATTAGTCAAAAAAAAGAAAGAAACTGCATACAGTCTCCACCCAAAACCTCTTCATTGCTCTTCATTTTCTCTCTTTGTAAAGAAAGGGTCCTTTCACATGAGCGCTCCATTTTTTTCATAAGTTCAGTTTTCAAAGAAAAAATACATCAGTTTTTTACATCCACTACCAATGCAAAGAATGATAACAAAACCTGACTGTTTGACCATTTACATCTGTTTTTCTTTCACTCCGTTTTTTTAAAGGAACAAAAATAGGGTTTTGATTTCAAAAAACAGATGCAGATGTAAATGGATGTAAATGGACAATCATCTGTTTTTCCATAGAGATGCATCGATGTCCGTTTTTCATCTATCAACGGATGAATGAAAAATGGACAAATGGAAAGTCCATGTGAAAGGGGTCTTAAAATGTCCTACTTCTTTAGTAAAGCACCCTCTGTAAATCTCGTATGTGAAAAGTATTTTAAAATATAAAAAAGCTATTTTCTTCAAAATTGCAATCTATCAGCTCTAAAATGTTGTTTCTCTTGTTTAGATTGGATAAAAACTGGATGGTTTGTAACTAGGGAGGCACTGATACCAGTTTTTTAAGACTGAGTATGAGTACTAATACGTTTCCTTTCGTATTCACCACTATTAATTACATTTACTTATTTTTAGTGGTATGTGAAAGGTTTTTAGGACTTGTTCACATTAAACATACATCAAAACTGATGGGAAAACCACAAAGATTTTAATTGCAGAAACATCAATATCACATCAGTTTCACATCAGTATTTTTATTAGACAGGATTTATATAGCGCCAGCAGTTTGCTCAGCGCTTTACAATATAACGGGAGACAATACAGCAACAATACAATTTGAATTTGGTACAAGAGGAAACAGAGGGCCCTACTCAATCTAGGAGGTCACATCAGTTTACATGTGCATTTCACAGAGTTGTTCACACTGTATGTGCGGGTTCTGTGCGATTTCAGTCCGGTTCAAGTGCAATTTTTTAATTTCATACACAACAATTCACATTGGGATCGAACCTGAACCATTGAATAAAATCGCACTGGATGGGCCAAACCGGTCTACACAAGGTATCGTTTTTTTTGGGAGCATTTGCATGAGTACAAGTACTCAAGAAAATGCTTAGTATCGGCACCAATGCCAATACCAGTATCGGCGCAATGCTATTTGTAACAATCACACCTTTTCTTTAAAATGCTTTAACCCTTTGAGGACCAAGGGACGTATTTGTCCCATGTTTTTAATTGCGTGTATCATCTGATTAAGAACTTAAAACTCTTTTTTTTTTTTTGGTTTGAGTCAAAATATTAGTTCTTATCAACAAACAACAAATGGATCTAGCTTTTTGCCAATTATTTCATGAAATGGCTTAGTTACAGCAACTGAAGTGTACGAACTTTAAAAACAAAAAAATTGATTCTTTTGGCGTTCCAAAATCTTACAGTCCTCAA